ATGAAAATATATAAAATACTTTCCTTTTCCCCTCCTAATCCATCAGACTGTCTAAGAACATTTGATTATTCGTCCATGGCTTCCTGTTTGCCAGGGGGATAACGATAATTAGATTTTTCTTAGACACTCTTTTCTAACCGGAGTGATAAAAAGAATCGTCATTCATAAAATGCTGCTGTGCTTCACATTCATAGGGGTGAATAAGAAAAAATCTAGACAAGTATACAGACCCATGTTTGTTAGGTTTGATATATTTTACTTCTCTTATCTGAGTCGGACAATCCCTTACAATCATTCTTTGATTTTATTGTTCATTAATGGACCACATATATCCAAACAAAATCATCTGGTCTTTAAATCCTGACAGACATAAGAATTTCAGTCAAATAAATATAACTTTTATATGGTTGAGTTTCTGACATTTTGAATAAATTATGAACAGTTTAGTTAGTGCCTTCAAGTCGTCACCCATAGGAAGACGTTACTTGCATATAACCTAACGGAATATCTTCAGAATGGCTCCAAATAATACAAAACTAATATGGGTAAGTAGAACATGATGGAATAACATCAAATCAAGGGGCCTAACGTAAAAAAAAAAACAGTGTTCCCCTTTAATGTATGCAAAAACATATTTCAAAAAATTAGGAAAGAATGTCTGGACATCTGAAACTGTGTTTTTAATAATTTAGAAAACAGTAAGAAGTGCATCTATTTGTTTTCTGAGATGGATTATTACTAAGTAACTCAGTGAGGCTGAAAAACTGTGGGTAAGATAGAGTTCGTCTGTCTACCTCACAGGCCGAGCAAGGACAGCATCAAAGTGGGTCCTCCAAAACCCTTTCTATTTTTCTAGTTCCACTTTTTCCATCTCATTCTTTGAAATTTCACTCTTTCCATTTGAACCGTATTTATTAACCCCAAAATGGTGTTATTATGGAGTGAATGTAAGATATTTCAACCAATCAATAGCCGCAGATTTGCTGCTATTCAGCTCTCAAACATTAAACATGGTGATAGTTTAGCAGAACATTGAGTGCTTTTGCAAGGTATCTAAAATAAATCCAACCTTTGTAGCTCAGGTAAAAGAACATTCTTAATATGCAGAAGAAAAATAAATCTGACATATTTCTAACATGCATTCTTACTTTTGTGAAATAAAAATACTATAGAGTTGAAACCAATGGGTAACGAAACATGAAACCTGCAAAAAGTCGAACCTTATGCAAAGTGGAACTAATGAAAAAAATAATGTTAATTTATGTTTTTTTATCATATCTCTAGTGGTACAGGATTGTGAGCCTTTCTGTGTTTAGCTCCCATGTTTTAGCAGCATTTTATCAAAAATGATCAAATATTTGGGATCAGTGGGAAAACTTTAGAAACCACCGCGCTCCACAGAATGAGTTCAGTTTTAAGATTCCTCCATGTTTAGGGATTTATGTAAACAGTGATAACTGTGCAATTTTTTAAAGCAAAGTGACCTTAAATGTGCAGCTGAATACTGTAACTTTGCATTAATTTGCTGTTGAATGTGTTAAAATGCTGCAACAGTATTACTGTATATTAAACAGTAGACCCAAAAAACAAAAGGTTTTAATAGAAACTATTCAGTCTGAGGTCAGATTAGGACAGATTGGATCAGTAGAATCGATTATAAATCTTCAGAATTGGAATTAAATCTATTCTTGATCTTTTAATCCATCCCTGGCCTTGGTAAGAAGCTAGATTCACCAAAAAGGCAGCTAAGAAGCTCGCTGTAACTCTGGAAGAGCAACAGAGATCCACAATGATACAAGAAAAGTGGAAAGAAGAACCCGGGCATAAACTGTACGATTTGTTTGCCCTTTCAAGGCTGATTTTCCGTTTTTTTTGTGCGAGAATTTTTCGATCGGGCCGACTTTCAGCTTGATCATGCGTCATGTGGTGTACAGGTGTAATGATAGCCTCATGAGACCATCCTGATCTCGCGAACTTTCAAGATTTCACTCGC